TAAGATTTATTTATTTATGCACACAGAGCTGGGGTACAGGCCAGAGATGCAGGGGCAGTGAGAGGATTCACCAGAGAAGAGTGGGGAGCAGAACAGGCCGGCTGACAAAGTACACTGCTGAGGGGAGCAGTCAGGAGAGGTCTGCCATGCCATGTGGGTCACCTCCGGGGTGGGGATCGAACTCATGCTGAAGTGGCTTTAGCTTCTTAGTGCTGTGCTTTAACCCACTGCACCACCAGGGAGGACACTAAATGGATATTTTTTTAAAAGATTTATTTATGCAGACAGAACTGGGGTACAGGCCATGTGCTGTATTAATAGGAAAGTCTGCTGAATTAATTCTCAGAGGGAGCCCCATTGATTGAACCCTTACATTGGGAATTTGAGTTGGAAGACTGAGTCACAGACGTAGACCCAACTGGTTATTCCCAAGATGGTGAGTGAGTGCCCTGCAGGAAAGGGGGATGTGTGCCAGAATACCAGGCACTTGATCTTTACATGAAAGTCTGCCCTGAATTTGTGATGCCCAAATAAAATGGGGTTCCTCCCTGAAGCTTGGGAAGAAGGTGCTTTAGAACACGAATTCTCCCTTTTCCATCACTTGTCAAGCAATGAAGTTCTTGGTCAGTTAAACTGAACCTGGTTTCTGTATTTTTGGCTTTCAGTCACCAGGTAAATTAGGGGGAAATTCTGTAACAAGACGATCTTTCATTTGTGAATGTACCAAATTAAAAAAAAAAAACAAGTGCCCAGCTCTGCTTAGCCTGACCATCGACAAAGCTCAGGTACATCAATTCTCAGGCCCAAAAAACTGCTCTTCCAAGGGCCCTCCCTGGTGGTGCAACAGGCTAACGCACAGCACTGTGAAGCTATCCTCAGCCACATGGCGCAGCAGACCTCTCCTGACCTGCCCACTGCTCCCCTCAGTAGTGTGCTTCATCAGTCTACCTGTTCTGCCCCCCACTCTGTCTCTGGTGAATCCTCTCACCCTCACACCTCTGGCTTGTACCTTGGTTCTAATATGCATAAGTTAATAAATCTTTTTTAAAAATTGGTGTTCCAAGGCCCCAAACACCTTTCACCCTCCATGTCAGTGTGAATTTGAACATATCATGTTATGGAGAACCCTTCCCCCACCCTCCCATTGCTTTCTTTAGAAATCAGGTTATTAAATCTGCCAACCTCTGCACCTGAAACCCAAACCCTGCAGCACCTAGAGGACATGACTGGCTTTACAGGGTCCCGCTATTCAGTGCATACAACCTGTACTGGCACTGTGCACCGGCAACTATGAAAACAACAGTGCTGGCAGGTGCTTCCTGCCTGCTGCCCCCAGTGGGCAGTGCCTAGGCTACTCCCACAGAGGCCAGCAGTTGTATAGTAGCAGGTGAAGGTGGTTTCCAGCCCCACCAAAGGCTAAGGCTGCAAGGCTTCCCTGCCCCAGAGAACATTGGCAGTGGAGGCAAACCCAAGCCCACTGCTTCTGGTCCAGGACCGCTAGGGGGAGTGCTGGGCCCTGCTGGGGTAGCTCCCCGAACTGTGGCTCCCTGGAGTCACAGGCAGAACTGCCCAGGCACAGCAGACCAACAGGGCAGGCTCCCAGCAGCACCCTGTCCCACAGCTACTGGGGTCTGTGTCCTGGTGTTAACGCAGGGCCCTCTAGCATTGTTACACCCAATCTCGCTGTGCAGGGGGGTTCAGTGTGCCTCTGGCCCCACTGAGGCTGGCCTAGCCCGTGAGCCTTTCCTGACCTCAGTGGAGGTTGAGTCTGTGTGGGCACCAGGCTCTTGCCTTTTAAATCTGGCACCAGGGTCATACGGGGATCGGTCCGTCTCGAGCTCTCTAGCTATTATTCAAACATTGAGCTGATTTTGTGGATTGAAAATGGGAGCAGGTTCTCCCTGGTGGCACAGGAATTAAGCTCTATCAAGATATCCCACAGCCACTGCAGCACCAGTTTGATCCCTGGCCAGGGAGCTGACCCACATGGCACAGCAGACCTCTCCTGTCTCTCCCGCTGCTTCCCACTCTGTCTCTGGTGAATCCTCTCACCCTTCACATCTCTGGCCTATACCCCACAACTCTAGCCTACAAACCGCAGTTCTTTTGTGTGTGCATATATAAATAAAAATAAATCTTTTAAAAAAGAAGAAAATAGGGCCCTCTCTGGTGGCACAACAGGTTAGGATGCTGCAGCAGCTGCAGGCCCTGGATGTGACCACATGGTGCTGCAGACCTCTCCTGACCTGCCCGCTGCTCCCCTCAGCAGTGTACTTTGTCAATCTGCCTGTTCTATTCCCCACTGTCTCTGGTGAAGCCTTCCACCGCCCCTGCACCTCTGGCCTGTACCCCAGTTCGGTATGCATAAATAAATAAATCTTTATAAAAATAGGAAAAAATATGGGACAAATCCACATCGACATTTCTTGAACGAAAAATATGCCAATTTTGCATATTTTGTCTCAGTCCAGTTTACTTCTCTAGAAATGAAACATCCAGCAAATGCAAATATTACCCCAAAAGTTGTAAGGCTCTGACCAAATTACTCTGTGCTTGTCTCTAATAGGGTGGTCCCTAGGAAAAGGGGAAGTTCCAGGAAGGAAGGTGGCGCTGCGGAGAGAAAAAGAGAAGAGAAGGAATCAGAAGAGAAGGAAGCAGGATGGAGAGCCAGAAGGAGACCAGAGGAAGCCACAAGGAGCAGCAAGCATGTGAGGAAGAAACCGTGCTTGTTTCCTGACCCTGGACTGGTGAAGGCAGATGTGGGTGAGAGACCTGTAGGGAGGTGACTATGGTAGTGTTTATATTGATTTCGATTTTGCCCTTTTCCTTCCAAACTTGTCTGGCCATTTCTGATCCTTTTCTATGGGTCCCAGCCAAAAGGTGCTTTAGGCTTGTGGCAGCTTTCAGGCCTATCCCTTTGGGTGGACTTTTGCCCATGAGGGGATGGGTAACTTCAGGTGTTTGATTTAGACATTATATTCTGTCTTTTGTATTGCATACTCACTGTATTAAATTTCCTTTCAATAAAAGTCTTAATATGTTTTGTCTTAATGCGGTTGATGGTAGAACCTATTTGGAGCAGGCAGGTTTGGGGGTTCAGTGGTGCCCCTCTCTCCTTGCCCTGTAACAGATTCACTGTATTAAAGTTCCTTTTCATTAAAGTCTTATATGTTCTGTCTTGATGCAGTTGATGGCAGAACCTATTTGGAGCACGCAAGTTTGGGGGTTTGGTAGTGCCTCTCTCTTCCTGCCCAATAACATCTCTACTTCTTGCATTACTTGCAGATTAAATGAAGTAATACACATGAGATAGTGCCTAGCTCAATGTAAGCATTCAACAAATGACTACTCTTATTTTAATTTTCCATCTCATCAGTACTGTCTCCCAAAGGGGTATTCTGCTTGACTAGATCTCCTAAATTATGGCTAGTTATTTTGCCATCCTTTCCACCAATTCAATCATCACTTTTCCCAGGGCCCACTGAGTGCCCTGCCATATGCTGAATGCCTACTTCTTAAGCAGGACTCAAATCAGGTTCCTGGCATTGATGGAGGAAGGAACGCAGGGGAGGCATCCAAGACTGAGTCACACAAAGTGGCTGGACAGAAGGGGCTAGTGCAGCAACTGACACAGCCATCATATCAAGGTCAACCCCGTGCCCCGGGGATGCCAGGGAGTTCCCAGCAGATAACAGACTGTCTGAAGCTCAAATCCAAAAGGTGAAATACAAGGACATGGAGATGAAGCCTATCAGGAACCTCAGATTCTATTCAAAGACAATAACTAGGCTCACAGGGAGTGAGCCCCTCCCAGGGAGAGGGTGTCTATATCAGGGCAGTCTGGGGGTGGTGGGGAGAAGGGGGATGGGGGGGCAGCTGCTCCTCTGCCCACCTGTGCTTATGCAGGTGCTTCTTTCCAGTCCCTCTTTCCCTCTGCAGGGCAACAGCGTCCTGCCTGCCTGTGACCTGTACCATGCCAGGACTTCTCTGCACTGACCTCCCTCAGAGGAGGCCACTGTCCTAAGACCACCCCCCTGCAACCATGCAGGCCTCTCTCCCTGCAAACCTGTCCCTTTCAGGGCAGCTTTTCCAGCCCGCTTGTGTCTATGCAAGTGTTTTTTATCTCCTGCCTCTTTCTAATACTTATTCTTTAAATATGACTGAGTCTCTGCCTCGTGGAGAATCTCGCCGCGTGCTGCTGAAAGGGGTGCTCTGGTGAAACTCTGGTTTCCCAGAGTGAACCCAAGGACCCCTGTAACTCAAATGACAACATCAGTACAACAGAGCACACAGCAGAGTGAGGAAATACTCCTAAACGATGAAAATTGAGCTGTGATCCAGTGGAGTTCCTGGCGTTTAAAGTGTGAATGGAAGTGTGAATGGGGTTGGGGTGGTGTGGGGGGGTCAGTCACTCAACAGTGCAAAAGCGCAGGCCGTAGCAAAGCGGGAGCGGACAGTGCACCCCTATCGCCTGTGCGGATGCGGGGAGGTGGGAGGACCCCGGATCTGAGAGGACCTAGACTGCCCCGCCACGCACGAGATTGGGGTTCCGCCTATCCGAGACGTGAGCCCCAAGGAACTCGTAGCAGAAGCGAAGAGTCCGAAGCCCAGCCCCATCGCCGTGCAGGCAAGGTTCCGGGATAGCGTCGGGCCAACGCAGAAGCAGGCCACCGCCTGACCGGCCGAGGGACAAAGTGGCGGCCTCTCAGGCCGGAAGCGCCGGGACCTGCCCGCGCGGGAGGAGCCGGAAACGCCGGGCGCACAGCCTGTGGGCCAGCGGCGCG